ATATCGACGAAGAGATATCCTACCTTGATTGCTGTGCAGTATCCAGGATTTCCGCTTGGAGGAGGGGGGGGGGGACAAAAAACTTTCTGATGGAGCTGCGTAGCGTAGCCACGCACTCCGAAAAATTCTGATATTTTTCCTAAGATTTTTGCGGCCCGTAACCCCGAAATTTCAGAAAAAGCGGGACTGCCGTCAGCCTACGGCTCTTAAAATTTTTTTAGGCTAAATTAGATTTTCAAAAATTTTTGAAGATTGTATCCTCCTCAGTACGCCACTTCCTGATTGTTACTTCCGAAAAGATTCATCAAAGTGAAGCATGCGACGCTTAATAGAGAAGCAAATTCACTCGAAAGAGTGATATGAAGGGACGAGAATAGGACAGAAAAAGGGTAAAGTGAATAACCGCTAGATGCATGTCATTGCAATTAGAAGAAGGTTTCAGCCTGTTGCTCCACAGATCTGCAGCTAGCTGCCTATTCATCCTCAGGTACTACTTATCTTTACTATGAACATATCGAATGGAGGGGACTGTTGTATAAGTCGCGTTTTCCCGCTATTGTATGATACGCAGCCGTTAACCATCTTTTTCAAATATTTTTGAAGAAAAATATTCCAATTGTGCTTACTATCTTACTTAGCATGCTGAGTATGTTTTTGATAAGAACAAATGAAGGTTGAAGCAGAATCAGGCATCAGGCCTGAGTGGCACACCATATCAGGTAAGGCGGGAAGGGAAGGGCGCTTGTATGGAGGAGTCAGAGAGAGAAGGAGTAGTGATTAAATTGAAATTAATGGTAATGAAAACATGATTTTGCTATAGTTCACGCACGGAATCGCTTGGAATGAACGCCCGCGCGCGTATCTCTTGCGACCTAACGTTGGCATACGCGTGCATGAGTCATCATGGCGCCCGTACTCGGCAGCCGCGTTGCGGGTAGGCTCCCGTGCATTCAGCCTACAGCGACCCGGACAATTTCGTGCAGTCGACTATAACAGTATGTCAGATGACCTCGCATCAAAGTACAAGACGCTGAGGTATTAACCCACCCATACTTTTTATTGGCTTAAACTCAAGAATTGGCCCACAAACAACGCAGACTGTGGAATTAGAGGCCCAACCATGATTTCGTTTATTCCATTTTCCGCGTTGAGGGGTTGAGCTTTCAGCGATTAAGAATGGACACGAATTGGATTTAAATGAATTCTGCGAAAGCTACGTGATTAGTCTAGTGGCAGGCCATCAAGGAAATAATTTGTTTAGTTTCTGTTTGCTTGCTTTAGCATAACAACCAGCTCAGCCCAAGAAAGGTCAAGGGGTATACTGTTCGATAAGGCAAAGCAGGCTCTACAAGAAGGCGTTCATAATCTCGCGCCAAGTTTGATCCCGGGAAAGTTTGAACTTAAGATCTAAAAAGTTCTAAATGCCCACGAAAAATTTGAAAAATCTTTTAAAAATTTCTGGGAACCTCCCACTTGCATACTTTACATCTACAATACCACCCGTAATTTGTGAAAAAAAATGGCGGCGGCACTTAACTTACGCGGCGCCGCCGCAGTTAGGTGACTTTTGCCGCGTCGCGCGGCAAAAGTCGGCGGAAAAGCGGCAAAAGTCACCTAACTTTGTCGCGCAACGCCTAACCTTTTATAAAAAAAGACCTTATCTTGATTCAAAATTTATGAATTCTATATATAAGGGTACCATTCAACTCAGCTCGGCGAGGCGCATCTTCCAGCATATGGAGGTGCCTAGTCGTGGGGTTAGGTGTACGGTAGGCAGTCAATTTCACGTTCTCTTTAAAAGTTCAGTGTAGATCGATTATTCACTGTGCTGATTCCAGAGGCCACATTCTGTTGAGTGCTGCAGCAATACGGTAGGTATAATTTAAGAGCTCATTTTGCACGGATATGTGTAAAATTTTGTTTAGAGCTTTTATTCGGTTTGCTGCCTAAAAAGATTTTATTCATCTGCTGCAACGTCTCCTAAGCGCTATTTAACTTTTCTTCACCGAAAAGCAGTCATTAACTGCGCCGGTGGCAACCCGTTGAGGTGCCTTAAATGTAAGGCTGAAGGTGAACTGCTTAAATCTGTTTGGACTCTTGATTTGCCAGTCACCGTATGTCTGCAGCATGCACTATACCTACCGTATCCATTATGCTCAGCAGAATGTGGCCTCTGCAATCAGCACATTGAGTAATTCATTCGAGCTAAAATTTAAGAAAAACGTGAAATTGACTGCCTACCGTACACCTAACCCCACGAATAGGCACTCTACAGGGTTTATCAAACGCAGCGTCGTTTGTATCAGCATCTCCACTCCCGCGCTGGACTCTGCGTCTCTTCCGCAAACATGCTCTCCGATCACTTTCAATCGATTGAGGCTCCGCCTTTCCCACGCTCGCCCTTGGGAAGTGATCAGAGAGCATGTTCGCGGAAGAGCTGCAGAGTCCAGCGCCGGAGCACAGATGCTGATGCAAGCGACACTGCGTTGGAAAAGCCCGGTATGTATCCGAAGACGCGCCTCGCCCTTTGCCAAGCAAATTCGAATGGTGGTTTTGAATTCGGAATTCACCACTATGCTGATTGCGAGTAGTCCATCAGTTTTCAGAGATTACCTTTACTTTCATCGCTTCTCAGCATTCAGCTACGGAGCTGGTAATCGGCGCATGGGCTAGGTGAATAAGCCGGGAAATGCTGTACGAAGGCAGGGCTTGTGATATACAGTGACCGCCAAAAAGTTGCGGACAAGTCGCCTTCATTCTTTCATCGCTCATTTTCAGATGGAAAACAAAGATGAAAAAATGTTTGGATTGCTTGTGGTGATAGAGCTCTTCAAGAGCTACAATCTAGCACATTGAGTAATTCATTCGAGCTAAAATTCAAGGAAAACGTGAAATTGACTGCCTACCGTACACCTAACCCCACGACTAGGCACCTCCATATGCTGGAAGATGCGCCTCGCCGAGCTGAGTTGAATGGTACCCTTATATATAGAATTCATAAATTTTGAATCAAGATAAGGTCTTTTTTTATAAAAGGTTAGGCGTTGCGCGACAAAGTTAGGTGACTTTTGCCGCTTTTCCGCCGACTTTTGCCGCGCGACGCGGCAAAAGTCACCTAACTGCGGCGGCGCCGCGTAAGTTAAGTGCCGCCGCCATTTTTTTTCACAAATTACGGGTGGTATTGTATACTTTTGATATCAGACATCCATAAGCGCAGTTGCTGTATTTTCCTTGATGAAAACTGATAAAACGAAAATTTTCATGTTTTTCTTAAAGTAATGCTGAGCCGCTTTTGCTCGAGTATATGCTACAAGCCTAAGTAATTATAGTTGTAAATTTTCAGCCCATTTCGAGCAGTAGTTTTGAAGAATTATCAAATTCAATCTCTTCTCCTCAGTTTCGGTGCTTATATTATACATTTATCGAAAACTACTACTAGCTACTGTAGAATAGGGATATGCTTACTTCACTGCTATACATTTGATTTCTGGATTGTTTTAGATTTTATACAGCATTGAATAGCTTTGGATATCAAGTAGTACTGCGATATTACAGTACAGCTGCTTTGGCTGTCAAAAATGACACCATGTAATATTATTCTAGTTATAGTTTATGTAGTATTATAGTTATTATTATAGTTTCCTTATCGTCATCGTACCTGATGAATAAACAGTTGCGAATTGAGTGAAAACCACAATGTTTTACTGTTGATCCGTTGAAGACGAAGAAAATCCTTCACTGTCGAAAAATAGATGTTTTTTCCTTCAACACACTCTGCACACATACGCACACAATCGCTGATTTTTTAAGAGCATAAAGACTGCTATCATGCATTTTCCCTTTCTGTAACACATAATCGCCGTCAAACACCCAATTTTGGATTGTTATTTTGTCCTCATTCACAGAGCTGCGTGGGTTGTGAGAGATTTATCATGATTTATCATATGACCACATGAATGACTTTTTGTCTGTTGCCCTTTTCATTCGAGAACAGATATGAAGATGCTGAGAAAGTTATTGTTAAAAGTGCACTAGCACTTCAAAATCATATGATCGCGCTTCAATCTATTTATCCTATCTGTTGGAATGTAACAATTTAGCGACAACTTGGAATCTTTTTTAGCATATGAGAAATGAGCAGAACTGTTGCAAGCAAAGACATTCTGGTGAAGAACTCGAATTGTCACGCAATCTTCTTAGTCTTTCGCTGAAAATTTCTCGAGTTCGTATCCATTCTAGTTTATAAATGCATACAAAATGAACGCACAATTAGCATCGATGGGCAGCCGCTGAAGAAGGTCACGATATTCAAATACCTGGACTCTCGAGTGACGTCGGATTGCGACACGATCACTGATGCTCGTGCTAGGACGAACGCGGCGTGGCTGAAATGGCGGCAAGTAACAGGAGTACTCTGCGACCGACGAATTCCGTTGTATCTCAAGTCGAAAGTGTATCGGACTGTGGTGAGGCCAGTCGCACTGTATGGAGCCGAATGTTGGCCAGCAACCAGGAAACACGAGCAGATCCTGAGCACGATGGAGACGCGAATGATAAGATGGATACTTGGCCTAACGAGAAGAAACTGCGTCACGAAAAACGATGTACAACACATTTTCGGATTTGCACCTGTCGCGGATAAGATGCGAGGTGCCAGATTACGATGGTATGGTCACCTTGAACCAAGTTAAGATAATACGGTAGCAAAAACAGTACTTCGTCTAGATCCACAGAGGAAAAGACCACGTGGCCGGCCGACGCTGGTTGGATACCATTCGAAATGACCTACACACTGCAAAACTCAAACCACAAGAAGCAGCTGATCGAGTCAAATGGAAGCAAAAATGCACCACCGCCGACCCTGCACCCGCGGGACAATGGCGAAGATAAAGAAGAAGAAGAAGAAGTAGGAATTACACAGATCATTCACACACTTTTTTTGCCACAGAACTGACAAATTTTATTGGTGAATGTCGACAACATTGATCCATGAGTCAAGTTTATTTGGTCTTAGATTGGCTTCCGGCCTTTGCTGCCTTTTCCTCTTTTTCTCGTTCTAAAATTCCCTTTTTTACTGCAGCATCAGCATCATTCCAGGGCACTTTCTCTCTCCCGTGGTGGTATTCCACATAAGGCGCTGGATAATCGTATTCATAAGCTGAGTCTTCTACAGCATCATCTTTGACTGAAGAGCCATCATCGCTTTCTGAACTGAAAGCATTGATACTTGGATCACTACTTTTTTACGACTTCACCTTGGCCGCTTGGACTATCACCGCTTCTTGAACCACCAACATTGCTGCTTGCACGATCACTTAAACTTGGACCTTCTTCTCCCGCTGTTGTGACCTCTGCGTAGTGAATCAGCACCTTGACTTCAAAGTCTTGGCGGAAAGCAGCATGAGGGCCTCAGTTAAGTACCGAGTTGGGACATAACTTTTGTATGTCATGCTCACGATAGGTGGACCATAATACAGGGAGGGTCAAGGAAGTCCATCTAAGGCCGCATGCACTAACATCCCCGCCAGGAGGGTATCGCAGCTTCATCCGCAAAAATTCCCATTATCCTTCACTACGAACATATTGAACAGGATTGAGAAGCTGTACGAGCCGCGTTTGCCAACTTTTTGAATATCACCAGATTATCCCCAGCTGCTGACAGTTTTTTCTTCAAAGTAATTTTTTTCACAATCAACAAAAACATTCCAGAGTTGTGCTGTTTGTCTAACCCGTTAGTACAATACCACCCGTAATTTGTGTAAAAAATTGGCGGCGGCGCTTAACTCATGCGGCGCTGCCGCAGCTAGGTGACAAGCGCAGCGTCGCGCGACAAAGTTAAGCGGAAAAGCGGCAATTGCCGCCTAACTTTGTCGCGCAACGCCTAACTATTTTGTAAAAAAGACCTTATCTTGATTCAAAATTTATGAATTCTATATATAAGAGTACCATTCAACTCAGCTCGGCGAGGCGCATCTCCCACTAAACAGATGTGCCTAATTGGGGATATAGGTTTTTTTTCTTGGAATTTCAGTGTAAATGGATCATTCAGTGTGCTGATTCCAAAGGCTACCTACACATTCTTTTGAGCACTGCAGAAATAGGGTGGGTATAAGTTTTTCGTCCTCTCTTGCTGAAACCTCGGCATACTTGAGATTGTGTAGTATTGTTTTGCCAACTCGAGGTTTTGGTGAAGCTTTATTACATCAGTGGCCTAACGTTTCGACTACTCGTCGGCTTTTCTCGGCAAAGTATGACCGGGACCCGTCATACTCCAGCAGGTCCTTCCAGCTCGTCGTAAAGTCTCTTGTAGTGTGCTTCCTTTGCTTCGGCTACCGCATGCTTCGCCCTCGAGTTCTGTTCTTGATATCGACGGAGGTCCTCATTTAAGTGTGAGCGCTGCCAGGCTTTGAAGGCTTCTTTTTTCTCCTTGATCACTTGCTGGACTGGCTCAGAACCACCACCAGATCTGCTTATCTACAAACCGGCGTCCTGGCTTGATGGTTCCCAAGATTGTCTCGGCCCTCGATCGTATCTGCGAAGTAATCCGATTCCACTGCTATTCAATCGACTCTTTATCATCCGTCGACACCCTCAAATCGTTAAAAGCATCCCTGACTTGCTGGCGATGTTCGGGAAGCTTCCACCATTTGATCCTCTTTGTGGTCGTCCTTCTGGCTCGTGACTGTAAGTGGATGCTCAATCGAAGATCCAATACGAGCAACCGGTGTTGTGGCCCAAATGCATGTGTCGCCGTGGGTGTAACTTTCGCGTTCAACACTATCGGCAAATGGCATCGGCGCAGCATCCAGTAGTCGATCTGAGTTGAACGGTCTCCGCTCGCGTACGTGATCAAATGTGACTCCCGCTTCTTGAAAAATGTATTCGCTATCGCCAAGTCCTGTGCTTCTGCGGCTTTCAGGATGCGTTCTCCGTCTTCATTCCTCTGACCGTATCCATTTCCACCATGGTATCTCTTGAATCCATCGTATTCGTGGCCAACGTGCCCATTAAGATCGCCTCCTACGAAGGTGTAGTCTGCAGCGTCAAATGTCCTTAGCAGGATATCGAAGTCCCTCCAAAACACGTCCTTCTCGGCTTCGGTACATGCGGACTGCGGGGCATAACACGAGACTATTCGAAGCGTGGCATCTTCTGTTCGATCTTCATCGCCATAAATCTATCTGAAATGCGCGTCACTTCGGACACTAATTCGCGGTATCTACCGCTGACGATGATCGCGACTCCGTTCTGGCGGCTGCATATCCGTCGCCGATGTCCTTTGCCTGCCTCCCTTTCCATTTCGTTTCCTGTACATATGCGATGTCGATGTGTCGCTCCTTCAGCCTATCGCATAGCTCCCGGCTGGGGCTCGTCAGCGTTCCTATATTAATCGTCGCTAGTCGGATTTCCTGGACTCGCTTCTTTGGCCTGCCTCGTCCGGGGGCAGGTAGCCCTAGCTCACTATTCGCGCCATACGGGCAATGACGCGCGTCGCCTCTGGGAGACGCCCTAGCAGCTTGACAAAAATCCTTAATAGTCCGATGCATGTGACACGACTGATTCGTATAGTCCCCGGCGCGTCGCTCCGCCTGACGGGACAGTGCCCTCGTCGTTTGCCGGGGTTGATCCCCGTTGCCAGCCGGCACCGCGGGGAGGTGCGATGGGACTTTGCCGGCCTGTCGAATTCCTACTGGTTCATTTAAAAAGCGTTCATACTCATTTAACCTATCTCAATGAAATTCAAGCTTGAAGAACCAGAGAAGAAGGTAAACAACAATTTGAGCAACTTTTTTTATCTGGAGAATGCTATAAAGTCTCACAATAGTTGGCGATGGTGAGGAATATAGGAAGAATTGAATTTGAGTGGGAGCGTATTCATGAATGTAAACAGTAACTTGACTTAATAGCCAGTAACCGACTATTAGTTCAATTTTTGTTTTAACCTTCATTTCAATGTGTTATATTAAGTTGGTCCAAAAGTTCGTTAGTACCTTTTTCAAAAAATCAGATTTTATCCTTCAAGATTCTGTTCTTCAATTTTTTGTGTCCTTGTTCATTTCTTTGACTATGTTTTTATTTGAAACAGAAATCACGCGCTTTACAGCTTGGCACTGGCTTGAGTTGCTTTCAGAAAAAGCAATTTTTGGGAGAAATGGAGAGGTTGAGATTGGCAATTTTCGAAGCACAAACTCAAATTCATCGACTTTAGTAGAATTCAAGCGCAAGGTTTGACCTTATGAATACTAATTTCCATCGACTACCTTTTCGTATTTTATATGTTTACTGTTTGAAGAGGCTAAACTGAATTTTTTTTACTTGTTCGTATTTCGTAATAATCACTTGAGGCAAAAGCGCCTCTCCGATGCGCATTTTTTTCTTCACAGAATACTTTCAGTTTTGTGATCACGCTCAAAATTACACACTTGATATGTTCCACTTTTTTTCACACTCCCGCATTTCCACAGCAAAGGCACTGCTTACGCATTGTGACAGTGTATTTAGGCTAGTTCTCTCTTCTAACGAACAAATTTCTCAAGTCGATCTTTTCTCACCGCTTGGCTCCTCTGATCATGAGGTGGTTCGATATGGATGCGAACTGCCTTACCAAATGTTTGCCATCTCTTCCGTACCTGACTTGCATAGAGTTGACTACTTGGCACTAGACAATTTTCATTCTAGAGTCGATTGACTTGCACAGTTTGATCATGAGTCATAATCAGAAGTTTAACCTTACAAGGAAATAGTCAGAAGTTGAAGTGACCAATTCAAACGTGCAGCCTTCATTTGGATGCAGCATAAAGCGTTGACTTCGAGTATGTATTCCATGTCTACTCTAGAAGCCTTTGTAAGCGAAGTTATAAGCAGTCTTATTGCAAAAAATCGGCTTTAAGAATTGCGAGATTGAGCACATTCTTGATTTTTTAGCTCAGCTCATTTAGATACAGCTAAATAAAGCAGCTTAGTTGCATGCTTTGAAGTTGTCTAAAATTGCTCGTATCTCTCTTCCTGAAAAGCTAATAAAAAAAAGGTCTACGTCGATTTCTCGCGTTCTTAGCTATCGAATTGTCTGTCAACTGTTGGTGCACAAAGCTTTTTCGTTCCAAAAAAGTCTTGCTCCGACTTCCCATGAAAGTCAAGCAATTGAAGAGGGGGGGGGGGAAGGAGAAAGAGAGCAAGCAGATATTAAACCTTTTTCATGTAGCAATCTGTACACCAGAAGGTGTACGAAACTGGATTCGACGTAGATCGTCTTTTTTTACAAACCCCTCGCCTCGGAGATACATGGCATTTTGTCTAAAAACTTACGGCGTTTGTCAGGAAATTTCCACGCAGGAGATGAACAAAGACGTCCAATTATCTGGCAGTGTTACAAAAATATCTGCCAGTATATATAAGCCGTCTCCTTTTCTCTAGCCTTCCTCTTTCTTTTAACAATTGGAGCACAAAGTGATAGTATGAAGTTGGCTGATGTTGCAAGTAATTAGAATTTTTCGAATATGGATTCCCAGACGATTCAAAGAAGAAGGAGATCGTCTACGTTGATATGTTCCAAGCTCTCGAACGGTATGTGGTTTATTGAGAAATAGAAGTTCCTTGCATCAAAAAAAAGTCTTTTCTGACGATCTCCCAGAAATAGAGCACTCAAAATTCTCCGTATTATATTTCACAAATCCAAAGTGGCGATAAGTCTTGCGGCACTTGCCTAGTGCTGTGTAGACCTGTTCAAAAGCTTTGCGAGTTTTTCTGCTCTCAAAGAAAATTCTAAGCAAAATATATTTTTGCTTTCGCAAGTGCAGATAGTCATGAAAGTTTCGATCAAGCTTTTGAGCAATCAAACTGAAAGTGACTCTTCTTCAAAATGGCACCTATTTGCTTTTCAGATTGAAATATCAAGTTCCTATGGATAACTTTTTTAAGAAAAACGAAGAACTTTTGGCTTTCTTATAGATTATCACACCGTTTTTAGCGAGAATCGCCTCATTGCGTAAATGTTATACGTAATTGATCTCACTTTGAAAAATTCTGCAACTTATCATTGCTATTACCTCTGCCAAAATCCTAGTCCGAATAGTTCCTGAATTTTTTCATTAGATATCACCAAGGATAACATGTAGAACATATTCAGACCAAAAGGTCGACTCTATGGAACATTGCTATGCCTTCGTACTGAGACTGAATACTTCGAACGATGATACTCTGAGATGTTTCCCTAGCATACGTATGAGTCACTTCTTCTGCGATAGTTATCTCGCCCTACGCTGATCTCCTCGGCAACATAAGCAGGATTTTTGGGAGGTTAAGAAGTACCGAAAAGCACTTTTCACAAATTTTCGAAATCTCATCTATGAAACTAGTGTTTGCGAAATTGT